TTTACGTGCACATATTAGAAACACACAAATATGAACTAAAAAATAGCTGTTTTACTTGGTCGTACAATCTTGTTGATGTAAGATGTTGCTTTCCCATTGAATTCATTTGAGATATTAATGTTTTTGTTAGGTGTATATTTTCAATTTGATATTTTCTAATGCACATAGAAGATAATGTTGATAGTTTCTTCAGATTTCTTATCGACCTTCTTAAATTACAGATGTTTACTGAAGTGTTTTTTTGTTTTCCTTTTCAAAATCACCTATTTACATTTTAGCCATTTTTTACAATATACTCCCTCCGTTTCAAAATGTAAGTTATTTTACCTATTTTTTGTAATGTAAATTGTTTTGACAGTATTAAGTACTTTTTAACTTTATTGATTATTGTGTGACCACTAATATTTTGCACCCTTTTATGTGTTTGGTCAAATTATTTTTATTAGATAGATTAAATGATATTTTTTAAGTAGAAAAACAGTTTCTTAATATACGTGTTTTTAAGTAAAACAACTTACATTTTAAAGCAGATGAAGTAGATAATTTAGATAAGAAGTTATGGAAATACATATAAAAATGCATTGCTCGTCTCTTCTAAAATTCATGAATGCGCGATTATAATTGGAATGATACCAAATTTTTAAATAAATTTGTTACTATTCCATCCGTCCGAATGATCCGCACTAGTGTAGAGTAACATGCATATATATATAAATCAACTTTACATGCGTATACTAAGGAGTGTTGTATTTGACTTGATTTGCGGATGATTTCTTTTATTTAAGCAAAACCTGTGATTATAATGTGAAATGCCAAAATTGTTGATTTACTTCAATATTAGTTTTCAAATTGTTGAGGAATTGTTTTCTTAACTATCTACCTCAAAGAAAGTATAGAAATAATATCTCAATCACGTAAAAAATATCAGCATTGTTATCACATGATGAGCTGATAATTAAGTCATAAGTACATGCTATATATACATTGATTGTGCAATTTCTAGTA